CGCAGGCCTAGTTACAATGTGAGTGTGTGTTTTTTTTTATGTACCTCTACCTGTCACCTGAGTGTGATCATAAAACGTGATGACGCAACACACGCCATACACCCACTCACTCACTGCATAGTCTCTCTCCTGACAAAAGGACTCATAAATTTGAATAAGAATGGGAGGTGTACGTAGCAAGAACTCTACTTGTTCGCCGCGCGGCCGTTGCTGTTTTGTTGTTACAACAAACGTGTATTTGCTTATTTATTTATTTACTTCGCTCTTGGGCGCAGTGTGTGTGCGAGTACGTGTTTTATTCGGCCCGAGCACATGTGCGCGCTCTCTCCATTCTCGCGCGTATTTATAGTTATTTTCTCTCTCTTCCTCAGCCAGACTCGCACAATGTGTTCACCGGCGAGAGGTAAATAACTGTTAATTTGTTGTACGCAGCTCTTGCCAATTTCATTTATTTGAATCGCAAACAATGGCATGCAAACGAGTTTGATCGCAAATTTCAATTTGCGCCACCGGTTCACTCAAAATATTTATTTTATATGAGACTTGAGTGAGGTTTGCAGTGCCAAAATTTTTCACAATTGGTGATTGTTTATTGGCATAAAAATACAAGGTCAATGAATCATCTTTATTGCATTTAGTTATAAAGAATTTTTTGTATCAGCGGACCAAAATAATGATCCCCATGAATGCATTGTTGCTGTTTTGTCAACCAATTCAAATTAAATAAAAAGATAAGGTTAAATCAACATTATTAATTTTATTAAGAAATTTCTAATTTGGATCGTTAATTAAGCTCTTTCACAAGAAACACCACAATATATATTTGTTTTCATTATAATTATTATAATTTTCAAAGCAATCAAAATCTAATTACGTCAGATAAAGGTTTTCTTCACAATTATTTTACGAAAAAAATTAAAAATATTCATAACATAATTTCTAGCGTCGGATTAAATAAAAACAGAATCTCAATTGTGTCTCTTCGTCTCAACTCTTTGTTTGCATCTTAAAAGAATTCTTAGCAGTTATGAGAACACGACATAGAGTTCGCTCGGTTGGAGCAGAAATTTGTTACCTTGTTTTTTATTTTATTGTCGCGTTTCGCAAGCGTTTAAGGTTTTTCGCAGCACGGTGCTACTCAGTTGAGCACATACAGCACGCTGTTAGGGCAAAAACCCGGCCTATTAGTCGATTGCACTGCCATAAAAACGGCAATATTGTGTGCGAAGTGCAAACAGCGCAGAGGAGAGACGGAGGCGTGGGAGGCCCAGAGCAAAAATGTGCTTTTTTTTCTCTACATTGCGATGGAGTAGCGCCTCCGCCGCCGCTATTAAAGATCTCTCGTTATTGTTTCCTGCGTATTTACGCACTCGCTCGGAACTTTATAATGTGTGTAAGTACATTATATTTATACGCGATTTCTTGGGCCTGCAATGATATACCACACGCGAAACCAGTAAAGCATGCAAACAGCTACGGCATTAATTATTTTTCTTTCTGCCGCGGCGAGCGGTTTGTTATACGGCGCGCGAGCTGTGTTGTTTATCGTCATTAAACCAATTAATTGTGTCTTGCATACACCTACACTCGCTCGAACGCTAGTTTGCTCCTTGTAAATGTGCTGCAGTGCCGCGCAAATGCTCGAGGAACAGCGACGACAACAAAACGGAACAGCGCCGGCAGCAAATAAATCAAAAGCAGTAGGCGTCTGTGAGCATATCCTTGAGTTTTAATTTTGCGCGTTTTGTAAACAAGCAAAAAATAAGCAACATCATGTGATTGCTAATAACAAATAATCAAGGGAATGAATAATTTATTCTATATTTAATTTATTTATCCATCATTTAGAAGTTATAATTGACCAACACATGATTAACACCGTTTTTTTAAATTCAACATAGATTCCTGATATAAAAAAGGTAATGAAGTTATAACTTTTTTTAATTCAATAATTATGTATTTGCACTTGATTTTTTCAAAAATGAAATATGCGTCAAACTCCCTCACAAAAATGATTAATAAATCGAATAAATTATGAATTTCAATCTTCTGAATATTCTCTTTGGATTTTTCTTGTAATTTTATTTTTACTATAATATATTCACGCATGAATATTAAATGAATAAGTATAAGCTCCAGCAGGCCCACTTAACTTTTACTTTACGGCAGCACTGGAAAACAAATTCCAAGCAAAATTCTTGTGCTCACTCGCACTTTGCAATTTGTATAATTTCGCAGTCCAAATTTTTTCCGCGCGTCGAATAAATGTGAGGCAGCTTTAGATGTCATAAATCAGATGATGAACGGCAGCCGTAACCAGCAAGGCCAGTGATTATTTCGTTCGATTCGCCTCAACGTGCGAGGATGGCCCGCGAAAGTTTACACACCATACTTGCCCATTAATTAAGCTTTCAAAGTGCGCTGGTCATGTGCCAGCTTGAAAAATTGCAAACGGTGACGTGGTTATCTTCAATCACTGCGCGGCACATTTCACATGCAAATGAGGCTTGGGGGCTCGCTGAATTAATTCGGTCGCCGCATGCGGGAACTTTGTGTATATAACAAAAAAAAAATCAGTGCTGAGATATTCTACTGCTGCATATTTTTACAAAAGCAACGCAAAGAGAGATGACAAGTTTTACTACTCTAGCTATCATGACTGATTCAACTTACGAAAAATAGTGAGAATTTGTAATAGTTCTTATCTTTTTAGATGTAATTTCCAGGCTTTAATTTAAATTAATTTAATAATATTTAACAACTTCTATCAATTTCAAACCTGTGCCAAATGTTTTATATAATTTAATACGTATAAAAATATATTAAAAAGTTATTGCTTCATTATATACGTCTCTATTTTTCATTCATTTAAAAAAGGTTCAATTCACTTTTCATTGAGGTTTTAGTGACTTGATATAAAGATACACATATAGTGTCTCAATCTTGTGTGCTCAGCACGTTAAGTACACGCAGAAGACAAACAAAAAACGCACGCCTCAACTTTGTTAATCAAAGACGCACACCCACTTCTTTCTTTATTTTTTTACTCATCCTCCCTCTCAGGTAAGCAAAGGGCTAATAAATAAATAATATCTTGGGAGTAAAAGCCACGCAGACGGGACTGCTTTTTATCTTATGTTGATTTAATGTATCTCTAAGTCAATATGTGTAAAACTCGCTACCATGCAGGACACACCACGCAGCTCGGACCTCTGCGCTCTTTTTTATTATTATTTTAATTCCAGTCTCTTTTCAGTCGCAAACTGGATCCGCCGGGCGTAATTGATTGAACTAATGAATGGGCACCATTATCTGCCTCTGCTGGGGTTATAAAATTGTATGTGCACTCACTCGTTCTGTGGCAACGCAACTCATTTTGTGCCTCGGAACCTTCTTTCTGAGTTATAATAATTAGATAAAAGTCGGAGATCTGCGTGCCTTCGTTGCGGGAGAGTTTTAAAGTCGCCTCTTAATTGTGCCAACGTTGAAATTTACGGCCCAAAAGCGCTTGAAATTTCGCGTACTTAAGCAAATTGGATGGCGAAATCTTCTTATATTTCTTCCAACGATCAAGTGAAAAATTTAACTCAGGAAACTTTCAACACCAGTTTTGGAGCAAAAATTTTCAGACGAAAGAAAGTTGATAAAACGGCTCGGCAAACTTTTCGCGTGCTGCGACTTCTGTGTCAACACCTTAATCAAAAGAGATTACGCGAGAACGAAAAAAAAACCGCGTGCGGAGGAAAAAAAGCAGCAGCCGTCTGCTGAAGAGGAAAAGATATCTTGGGGAAATCGCGGGCGGACAGTTATAGAAGTTGTCTCTCGTAGGTCGATTTGTGTACAATCCGAACGAAATTCCCACAGATCAACCCTTTGCTTCCCACGCTCGGGCTATCAATACGCGCTTCTCATCACCACTGTTGGTGATAAGGCAGATAATCGGTAATTTTATTGGTCGTCAAATAATATTACTAAGAATCCTACCTTTCACACTTTGTCAATATTCGACGAGAAGAAAGATAACTCCTTCCTTGGCGTGGTGCGTTCAGCTGAGAGAGAGAGAGAGAGCAGCGAAATCGAAGCAACAAGTTGCACAAAACTGCTGCTGCGGCAGCCAAGCGAGTCCCACACGAGAGCAGAATCAAGAATAGCCGGAAAGGAGCACACAGAAAGCATTCTTGCGGCGGGGTCACTTAGGGGTGGAGTGGGAACGTACCTCCCTCTCCCAAGGGGTGGCCCCCTCGCTGCTGCCCCCTCAAGAACTGCACCCCCTTTCTTCTTTTTGTTCCGAGAGTTGTCCAAAGCTGCCGATCTGCCGAAGGAGAAGAAACTAATTAGCATTTTCTTTTATTTTGCCGGGCCACTTTTTATGAGATCGTGGCTCTCCGAATACAAAACTAAATACGTATGTATATATGCAGAGTGAGAAAATTTTCGATACGGCGGGTGTGCGTTTCAATTTTAGAATTTATTATATTGCTCAAGGGGCAGAGGCGCACATCTGTTCTTGGCTGGGAAAGACGTTCGTGCTGCCATTTATTTGTGAGCTGGATTGAGCTGGATCATTTGATTTTGCGCAATTATGAGTAATAAAAATCGGACTGCGGTGCATGCGGACATGAGATTCACATATTTGCAAATGTTATATGACATGTGCGCATTTTTAATTTGTAAAATTGTCTGAATCACGAATTAAACATTATTTCAATAAATAGCTTGTAATTAAGACATATAAAAAACTTCTTAATAGTTATTATTGTTTTTGCACCTATGATTATTATTAATGCGTATTTTACGTATAAGTTTTTATAGTTTTTGATGGGGTTTTCTTAAATTTATACATCTTTTAAATAATTTTGGTAAGTATTGCGGAATATTATAATTATAAAAACTGTTATTATCAATTATTATTATGGATTTATAGAACCTGTGCATCTTCCAGATAGCCATTACTCAACCATGCCAACGTCTCAAAAGAGTACTCTTTGGGTATGTTTATTTTTTTAAATTATGTTTGTAATTATTGATCATTGACTTTAAATTTTCTTATAAAAACGGATTCTGTAAGGGCAAAGTTCTTAAAGTATGTGCGGCTTTCCAGACGCATAATGGGATTTTTTGTTGCTTTTTTATTTTTAATAAGTGAAAGACATTGAGCATTATTGCATAAATCAGTAAATCCTTTGAATTCTCTTAATTATATTTTAAATATAATTTTCAAGAAATTTTGTACAATGAAAGCCATTTTAGAATAAATCGCTCAAATTTCATACGCATAAAATTTAGAATTTAAATTCAATTTTCTCATATAAATCCAATCTACTTATTGCAAAGAAAGGGATAATCTACATAAATTATTGGAGACCATTAACATAATAAATCATGCAAATCGCAAGGAATTCGAATTTCAATAATGAAAAAGCGCCAGATCGTCAGGATGAGAATTTCTATACCAGACGATTCGTCGTAGCTTGGAAATCCACATAATTCTGCCTCGGAGGTCTTTAATTAAGCGACGTTTATTGTAAATTACGCGCGGGCAGTTTTTTCCCTTTTAATTCATATCAACAGGTGCATGCAGCCGGATAATTTCGCTGCATTATCATAATCACTCAAAGCGTGAAGAGAAAGAGAGCCTCTCATTAATTGGATCAATTTGCTCACCGACGCACACATTGAATTCCATTAGCTTGCTAAATGCCTTTTGTCTTTCCGCACCCGAATCTGCGCTGCCCATTAAAATTCATCAAGCACTGGCCCTAGAGCGAATAAAAGATATAATACGTTTTTTTTATTATTATTATATTTTCAATTTTTATCTCAAGGCTTTAGAAACGAATTCCACCTCCGTACCACCCGCTGCACGCTGACCGCAATGATTTTTATTTCAGACCTATTTCTCACTTCCTTTCCTGTGCAGCAGCAGCCAACGCAAAAGCCGCTTCCTTTTCCTCAGCGGAGCTCTTAATTAGCTAAAAAATAATAAAAACCGCTCGCTTGATTGTGATATCTCTCTCCCGCACTCTGTATGGGTTTTTTTAGTGCAGGCCGGTCGGAAGTAGTAGAGCTCTATATTTTGCCTCCTTGTGATTAAGGTTTACGCGTTTACGATTGAGATTGACGCTGCTTATCTGCGATAATGTGTGTATAACCAAACAAACGTTTCCATTGCAAGAGGGGAAAAGCGTGAATTTGATTTAACAGCAATTCATTTTCATTAATTATCGCCACACTTATTTTGATCTTCTCAGAAATGATAAAAAAAATCAAGGATGTTTATCTAATTGTTTTTGTAAACAATTTTATATTTGCTTCGAAAATAGTAGCAGATATAAAATATTTAATTTTTTTATAAACCTTACGTTTGGCTGCAACTATGCAAATAAATGGAATTGGTTGCACAAACATGGAAATTTATTCACGTATTATTGCCTGTAATTAACAAGAAAGCCATATAAGATCACAAAAACAAGCAATTTGCGGAATTCAAGGCACTCTGGTGCCGTTCCCACCAATATATCGAAAATTGGCGTTTCATGACCCCCAAATTGTGGGAGATAATGATTCAATAGATCGCTTTGACATGCAAAACAGATAAAAGTTGCGAGTCGTAGGAGTTGGGAAAGGAGGCAATAACAATTATAAAAATATGAGAAAATTCCAAAGTGTCCTTAAGCGCGGCGGCACAGCAGGGAAATAAACCAATTTGGCCTGTGTCCCTTAGGCGGACCCTGTTCTGTGTTGTGTTTTCCTCTCCGACGGACAATCGGTGTGAGCCGCTTTTGCTTCTTTCTAGTAATTAGCATAAATCTGCCGCTGTTACACATGCACACATAATCTGGGCATGCAATGGAATTATGATTCAATATCTCGGCTGGCGAGAGAGTGAGTGAGTTTTATTACCTGACCCGGCCTAATATATCGGGCGGCATGCATGGGAAAAATATCAGTGGGTTACGAATATCCTCCCTTTAAACAATAAACGTTTAATTAATTTCAGGTCAAACGGGTTCAGAATCACGATGCGAAAAAAAATCCAGACGAGAGGATGGGCGGCGCATTTCTCCAACTTTTTTGCATGAACTGCTGTATAGAGGAAGGCCCTCCTAAAGGATGAGTATTAAGTATTTACGGCTGTTTTCATGCTCCGAAATATAAATGTATATTTTCAAGAGCAGTGTATCAAGAATGAATCGACTACACGGATGAGAAGGAGGCTGGTTTTTCTTGTCTCGGAAACGAATATACGGCCAGAATGGGCTTTCAAATTTTTCCCACAACCTAAATTATCCAGATGTTGGCTGGTGGCACAGAATGTTTTAAATATATATGGAGCAATTTTGTGTCCCAATAATTTACTAAATTACCAATTACCTGCAGGATATAGTAGGCAATGTCAAAAACTGATGTTTTAATTGAAAATTTGGAGTAATTTACTTAATTTTAAATAGAGCACTGAGATTTCCAAATAAATTATTTTGTTTGAACAATAGTTATGTAGCTCTGCGTTTCATTTTAATTATCCTCTAAGTTTTCCTTATTTGAATTGTAAAAGTTTTTATATTTGTTTTCCGTCTAGTGTGGGTGTCCTGAATTTGAAGCTGATAACAAGTTGCAGAGAGTGGTCGGATGAAGTATAATTATGGCATCGCGATGCACTCGGCAATCGCGCGCCTCCGTCTCTGCCATAATGAGCTCAAGCGTATGTACATTTGTGTACATAAAAGCCTCACTCTAGAGGAGAACAAGCATCAGTCGGTCGCTAATCAGACGCAATTAACAGCCAACGACACACGCATGCACAGCCGGCGTGTAGGGCTGCATTTATTAAACACGCCGCTGCAGAATTTATTTTATTGTATTGGCATGGAACGGGCAGAATATTAAAAGTCCAGCTGCACCGTCGCAGCGGTTAAAGACAGTTTGCGCGCTCATTAAGAGTGAGAAGTGCCAATGCGATGTGTACACACACAACTCTCAATCCACCCTGCATTATTGCTTCGTGGGGCAGTGTGAAATTTTTAAAGGTTAATTAAATGATGAAATTTTGTTTAATGTATTAAAAAAGATCTTTCTGTTAAAAAAACCTGTATATTTCCAAAATTAACAGATCATGATTGACTAATTTTTGACTCCTGTATTTTCCGGAATTTTTTTATATGTTTGTACGTTTTTTATGTCGATGCATGATTCCAATTTTTTGCACAGAGTACTTTTTTTGCGTTGTTTGTACCATGAATGGAGAACAAATAATTAAAATTGTGGAAAGTAATTTAAATAGATTGTTTCTGATGAATTGTTGATATTATTGGCATGTTTTGAGAAAAGAAAATAATCACCACAGTCATAAGTCAACGAAGTAGGATATGCAAATATAACGTTGTTATTAATTTAGTATTCTCTTATCAAATTTTATGGCCTTTCACTTTAATATAAAGGCAGCGGAAGGAGCACTTTGGAGTTCATTGTTTTGTAGGCAATTCACCCAAGACCAACTTTGCAAAATGAGGGCACTGAGAAGAGCAAATTTATGCCTGATGGTAAGTATTTTTTTCTGAATGAAATTTTTGTAAAACGTGCCCCTGCAGGTTGTTGCATGTGCGATCTATTGTGTAACACATGGAGTTGAATCAAAGGAGATATCGGCACCGAATTATGTGGAGATTGATGAGCCTCCAGTTCTTTCAGGCAAGTTAATGCAAAAGTAAATTAACCTGTTTTAATTTAGTTTGAAACAGGTCCAGTAGAAAAACAAATCATCAATAATGAAGCTAATATCCACAAACCTCAGCACCTAAGGATTAAAAGGTCATACTGCTCCCTAAGATGTAAAGAAATTCGGAATTACTTCGGGAGATTGAGATGCTATACAAGGTGTCGGTTTTTTTAAAAGGATTTATTAAAAATTTTGAATGGTTAAAAATTGATACTCTGACCGTCATTTACTATATTTTTTTAAAAGAAAATATGCTATTTTTAGTTCCTTTTCTCCAAGGTCCGCTCGTCAGAAAAGTTCGATTGTTGTCGAGCTCTCTGATTGGGTACAACTTTACTTGTACCCAATCAGAGAGCTCAAACAACAATCAAATCTTTTTTCATTGTTGCTGATGCGCGGACCTTGCTTTTCTCATACAATTTTGTCAACAACTGAATTTTAATGCGAGGAAAGAATAAAATAATAACTTCAAAACCAATCTTCTGGGACGTTTTATTGACTCTTTTATAATTTACTAATTATGAATTAAACGTTTTACTTTTTAATCTTTTTAATGATGAAACTACCAAAATTTATTTTTTTATGTGCAATAGAAATTTATCAGCATATTTGTAGTGTAAATACTTATCTAATCAAAGATAAAATTTTGAATAATATTTAACTTCATAGAAGTGACTCAAAGAAAGATAAAAAAAAAAAACAGACAAAACACAAAGAGCATCGTTAAAATCCATGACGACCGTTTGGAAAGTAAGATTGAAGAAAGTTTCTTAATATTATAAGGTGAAGTAATTTTCAAAAATTATAATTTAAATTAAACTACTCGGAAGATAGTAATTTATTCACGCAGAATTTAGAAATCAGTGCTCAAAATAAGCATTTTTAATTGTTTGTTCAAAAATAAAAATGTTTAAAAATAAAAAATGTAAAATTTCATTAAAAATAAAAAGCCATAACTAAACAATCTTTGTGCAAATTAAAGAGATTTTATATTTTAATTAATTTATCAAAAACAACCCTCAACTAAAAAATCTGCAATCCACATGAACGTACTGAAAAAAAATATTATTTTATCAATTCTTGATCAAATCAACACAAATTAATATATTAGAGATTTGAGGATTTTTCATTATTTTATATAAGTAACACAATGAAATCTCTTGTTATTCTCCATCAAAGTTAATTAGGTTGAATAATTCTTTTATAAATGGCGAGTGCGGAAGAACAGCAGAAAAAATTGAAGCCTTCAATTTAAATAGAAAGTTAAATCAAAACCCACAGTTACTTAATTTTTAAAATTAATTTTTTCTACACCCATAAAAAATTTAAAACACTATAGAAGTTCGTGTTGCACTGCCCGGCAGCCGTTCCTGATAATTTTTATTGCGAGGTGCGCGGGCAGGCGTACGAAATTGATTGGAGAGATCGCGCGCGACGTGTCTGTCGCCCCGCACAGATCGCGAGACGTGCAGGTGATGAAGATTTCAGGTGGCAATAAAAATCAATTGTCACACGCGGCGTTGGTGTGCGTTTATCGCTCGATTGAACACGGACGGCTCAGTGGTCAGCTCCGATATTTTGTGCAACGACACTCTCTCATTGTCACAACGGCCACTCTCTCTTATCGTGACATACAATCCTGGCCGGCTCAATTTTTCGAACATTATTTTTAATTGCGTCTGCGTGCCGGTTTGCTTTTCGGCCCTGGGTAATGCATCACACCTTCTGCGGACAAGGGCAGAATTTTTCGCGCACTGCCTCTTTCGCACATCATAAAGAATTAAGAAGTTGGGTCCTGTCTGGTCGAAGAGAAAAAAAATTTCAATTGATTGTTTGGCGCCTTGACCAGTGCCAGTCTGATCAACATTTCAATCATTGAAATTTAAATAATTGTTTTTAAATTTTATTTGTTTATATTTGATTTTTTTCCTCTTAAATTTTCCGTTTTGTTTTTTTAGCTTTTATTAGCTTATTCATGTGCATTTTTCAGAAAGGCAAATCTTTCCGTTAGTAAAATCACTCCGCCAACTTGCGACCGAACACGTGTTTTCATTGTTCTCTCAGGCAACAATGCCTTGCCACCCTCGTAAGTAGCGGTGGAATAAATTAAAATAATCAGCGCAAAACTAGTACATCTGCTTTATTTGCACAAAGGTATGGCGAGCATGACTGGCTTGCATGCGACCCTCACGTACTCCACATTTTTCAGCAAATCCACTTTTACAGGCACTGCCTTTTACTAAAACTTTTTAAATGCAGTGAGCAATAAGTAAGCATGAAATTTCATGCGCAGATCTGTATATTAATGAGAGAAATTAAATAAACATATTTGTCGAATGCCTCGGATTCTCTCTTTTTGAATGGATTTTGATTTGTTATACCACAAGATAGAAACTTTTGATGATTAATTTGAAAATTTTAATTTAATTAAAAAATATATATATATAATGATCATTTTGATTTCTTCCGTTATTTATTTTGTTTGTGATATAAAATGTATTATTAATTTATTAAAGATATTATTTGTGCAAAACTAGGGTAGGTTCCTGTGTTTGGCAATTGCGCATCAGGGCATTTTGAGCCACGGATTGATTTAATCCTGGGCTACATTAAGCTCGTCAGAATTATTGAGTGGTCTGGTCTGTTGCGAAGCTAATTAGCCACATGCAGCGTGCCGGATTTCAAAGTTTGTTTCCGAGAGTGTTCCTCTCCACACCTCTGTGCTTGCATTAAACAGAGTGGCGGGAATCTTCTCTACTGAAGCGAGAAGCACCACGTATATCCTCACACACCATTGACGTCACTTAAATCTTGTTGACCTTTGACCTCTCATACAAGTGAAATTCTAATCCGCTCCTCGCTCGGTGCGTTTCAAGTGCTGGCTAAATACACAACGCCCGCAATCGAATTTTTCAATTAAATAGAAGCAGTGAATTATTGTAATCACATGCTACATTATCCACCTTATTCTTATCATTTTACTTATTCCTATTTATATTATATTTTTGTCTTACAATTAGTTCAGCTGTGCTATAATTTTCATGAATGATCTCCTATAATTCTACTCCAATAGTGAGGTTGGACTTCCAATAAATAAACCTTTTTTCGAGACAAATTTTTATTTATTTTAATTTTTTTTATTTTGTTAAATTATAGTTTTAATACTTTTAAAATAAACGTGTAAAATTTATTACATTGAATTGCAGGTTGTACACAACAGTGTTCAATAAAATGCAATTTTTTCGACTTGGGTATCTAATACTTTTATATGAACTAAAAAATATATATGTATAAATGGAATTAAATGGAATGTTAATTTTAAATAACAATCTTGGACTGAAACAATTTAAAATAAATAATGTGGTCATTATTGACAATTTAAAGCTTTCTAACAATAAAATAAAAGGTTTCAAATTTAAAATGAAGTACATTTTATACATGATTTGTGATTCCCACACTCCACACTCTACGTAAATTAATGTATTCTTTTAAAACCCCACGGCAGCACCTCCTCATTATCGACTCGATCAATCTCTGCAAATATTCCACAACGTTCAAATTGCAAAATTATACAACGAGCCCGGCCAATTCCACTATTGAACTTGCTGGTGAAAACACGCACTTAATTCTGGCTCGTATTGAGCAATTCTGCACCGCGAGCACAACTATTAAAGAACTCTCATTGACTAAAGAAATCAAACATCAGTGGTGCCGCTCGAAATCGCACAATCTTGAATCGGATTCGAGTCGTTTTTGCGGGAAGA